GCTGGCACTCGCGCAGCGCGCCCTCCGCTGCCGTCTCCAGCCCCTCTCCCCGGCCACCTCCCAGAGGGTCCCCACCCGAGGCGCGGGGGAAGGGGTGCTCTGGGCTGCCAGCTCGCCCGGCCGGGAGGGAAGCGAGCCTGTGTCGGAGCGTGTGCCGGCTCTGGGGGGCCGGAGGGGCGTGTTCCGAGCTGGGGCGCCTTGGACAGGATGCGGGCTGCCTAAGAGAAGCCTGCTCAGGGCGTCCTGTCAGAAATAAGGACACTGCAGCCACTCAGACGCTCATCCACACTCACACAGGGACACACTCGCCCCAGTCATGAGGGCACACTCACACTCGCGGGCATGCAGAGGCCCCCCCATTCCACACGCAGACACAAGAAAACACAGGGCCGCCTATGACCACGCTCGAGGAGCACCCTCATGCACACCCAACATCCACACCAGCCCACGTGGAGTCATCCGGAGGGGTGGGCTAGTGTTGGAAGGCTGTGTGAAGGTTAAGCAGGTGGGGTCTAGGTTATCTTGGAGACTTGGGGGTGAATGGGCACCTCCTTCTTCTCAGGCAGGCAGAGGGAGAGCTCCCCATGCAGCTTTTCTGAGGACCACAACAGAACTGAGAAGAGAGAGGTCTGGGGCTCAAGACAATGTGTGAGAGAGAGTTAAAGCTTCTGCAAAAATACAGAGGAAGAAAGGACATTTGCAGGGGGCCTGTAGCAGCTGCCAATGCAGGAACTTGTGATGGGCTCAGAGAAGCCAAAGACCCTTTTCTGCTCCTTTGCAACCCCTGCCCCCTGTAACATCCATTTCTGGGGAGAAGGAACTGGCTGGCCTTCCTGGCCTCTTCCAGGTCTCCCAAGTTGGAGGGGACCCCTGCCCGTCATGCTGTACAAGGGCACATGTCCAGTATTATTAGGGGCTTCCCCACGCAGGCACTGGGTGGGTGTAGGGTGAATTCCAAGTCACCCAGAGCCAGGCAGTCTGCATAGGGAGGGATCTATGGGCCTGGCTGGGTCTGTGTTGAACAGGGAGTCTGTGGCCCCTAAAGGGACAGGTTATTACTAAGAGTCCTGTGGGCCCAGTGACTGCAGATCTGATATCTCAAGCTGAGTTAGGTACTGAAATTTTGTTGTGAACTCTGTGGTTTAAATGTGACTAACCCCAAACAAAAACTCAACTGTGATGATAAATAAAGCAGTGCCATTGGTAGAGGCTCAATCAATAACTGTACAAAAACCTATAGTTTAGATTTTTCTGCAGGCAACCAGACAGAAATGGAAACGGGCTGAGGAAAGGCGAGTATGGAATGTGACAGAGCCCCCCTGTCTGCTCAGAGATCTTTCTACGTTGTAAACCACAGATGAGTCCTCAAGGCTTCAGCATGGGCTGTTCCCTCTGCCTGGAATGCTCTTTCTCTAGAAAGCAGCATTCCCTTCTTTCTCACTGCCTCCTTCGTGTCTCACTTATTGTCTCCTGCTCATTGAGGCTTGCCCTATCAATCCTATTTCATTGAAATCTCCACTCCAAAATGCTCATTTCCTCTGCCTCTCCCCTGCTTAATTTTTCTCCATAGGGCTTAGCACTCTTGGCATATTATATACTATTTATTTAGTTAGTTAGTTTCTTATCTGCTTCTCCTCTTAGAGGAGGCATCAACTGGCTTCTACACAGAGCCTGTATGTTGCAGACTTTCAATAAACATTGACAAATGCCCCGCCAGGCGTGGCTCAGCAGTTGAGCATCGACCCAGGATCCAGGAGATGGCTGTTCGATTCCCAGTCAGGGCACATGCCTGGGTTGTGGGCTCGATCCCCAGTCAGGGGCTTGCAGGAGGTAGCTGATCAATGACTCTCTCATCATTGATGTTTCTCTCTCTCTCGTCCTCCCCCTTCCTCTCTCTGAAATCAACAAAAGATATTTTATTAAAAAACAAAACATTGACAAAAGAAGGGCCCCAGCACCCACTGACTAATGGGTGTCACAGCCTGGGATGCCATCAGGTTTGGGGGCTGGGTACAATCTCAGATTCAACATGTAATTATCCTATATGACTAGCCTCTCTAAAAATGATTTGTATGGATTCTGGGGCTGTAGTTAGACTCTTTCTAAAACTAGAAACTTGGCCAGGCAGAGTACTGGACTGCATGGCGACTCAATGAACCTTATTGTTTCTGAGCCTCCATTTCCCCATCTGTAGAATGGGAATGAAGGAAACCAGGATGCCTTGTCCCAGGATGCTGAGCAAGAAGAGAGGGACTGGGACAGTGGATGCATGCAGACTGCAATTTGGAGAATGAGGAATTGCCCTGCGTCCTCTGTTTGGCAGCTTGTCAAGATCCCACTTTCCTGGGAAATGGATGGGTTGGATAACAAGAACTCTAAGGTCCTAGGACAGGCTTTTGGTCCTAGAGAAGGGGCAGGATGAGTCAACATCAAAAACTAATTTCGCCACCTCACTGGCTCTTGAGCTGGATGCTTGAGTTGACAACTGTGGTGGCTAAACTCATCCACTTTTTCATTCTTTCAAAAGATTTTTCTTTCAAAAGACTTTTACTGGATATTTAATGTGTTTTTCAGGACCAGACACATAATTATAGAGCTTGATGCAAAATGAAAACATTCAAAAATTAAGAATTTCAGGAATAGCAGAGCATTGAGCCAAGCATTGAGCCCTAAGTGTGGAGCCCTGTGTGAATGCACAGGCTACACACCCCTGAAGCCGGTCCTGCTTAAGGCACAGAGATGGGTAAAAAGAGTTCACATTTATTAGGGGTTTATTAGGAAAAAAACTATATCTTAATTCATTTTATCCTCACGCTAACACTGAAAAGAAAGGACAGTTACTAGCCCCATTTTACAAGCGAAAAAACCAAGTCACAGAGAAGTTTGGCAATTTCCTGAGGCCTCCTGGCTGGAATTAGGTCCAACGCAGTTGGACTTCAGAGCCTGTACTATTACCACTGGAGGAGCTTAGTCCAGTAAAAGGACAAATACACAACACAAAACTGTCACAAAATATACTGTGGGTTCCATGTGACACAGGGCAGGAACTTCATCTGCATTGTCCCTCCTTGGCACTGTATCTCCACTGCCAAGAACAGTGCCAAGAAGGTGTCCAGAAATAAATCTTAAATACATAAATATAACAGAAATATATGGAGAATGTTAGGGGAGGGGATTGCAAACTCAAATGCCTATAGTCTAGGCAGTAATTAACATGAGTGTGGCCGAACTATCATGCATTCTTTTCTTCCATAAATAAATATACTGTCTCCCATTTACAACAGCATAAAAAACACACACCTAGGAATAAATTTAACCAAGAAAATAAACGACCTGTATTCAGAAAATTACAACACATTGAAGAGAGAAAGGGAAGAAGATACAAATAAATGGAGGGAGGCANTGAAGAAGATACAAATAAATGGAGGCACATACCATGATCATGGATTGG